CATTACCATAAAGTACAGCGAAAGAAGAACCTTAGCCCAAGCCTGTCAGCCAATGAACACTAAAACAGCAAGTACCGGCTGTAAATAAGGTATGACATGCCAAAACTCTGAGATCAAGAGCAACAACTTTGAGAGCCAATAAAATCACATTGTGACAAGTGACTTTTAATCTGAAACAATGAATGCCTATCACAAATATGATTAGGCACACCCTGGTCAGACCTGTCGTTATCTCAACCCTTTGTGCCCCAAAGAAGTGTCATGGTTTAAGCCCAGTTGGTAACTCAGAATCATGCATCCACTTGGTCACTCCCCCCAGCCTTCATCCCTCTGCTCCCGGAGGGATGGGGTGGAGAATCGGAAGAATGTAACTCCCACGGGTTGAGATAAGGACAGTTCAGTAACTAAGGTATAACATAAAACCACTACTGCTAGCACCAATAATAGTAATGATAAGGGAAATAACAAGGGAAGAGAATACAACCACTCACCACCCACCAACCCAAGCAGTGATCTAGCTCTTCCGGGTAACTGCAGGATACCCTGCCCGACGAAGCTGTGATCTCCCCCTTCCAGGTAACTGCCCCCAGTTCTACATTCTGGGCATGATGTGCTGTAGTATGGAATACCTCTTTGGCAGATTTGGATCAGGTGTCCTGTCTTTGCTTCCTCCTGACTTCCCCTCCTCCCTTGCAGAGCATGAGACTCAGAAAGTCCTAGAGCAGAGTAAACATTACTTAGCAACAACTAAGAACATTGGTGTTATCACCGTTGTTCCCAGTCTGAAAGTCAAAACCACAGCACTGCACCAGCTACTAAGAAGGAGAAAAACGACTGCTATAGCTGAACCCAGGACAATATCTGTAGAAGCACTTCCTGTTATCTTTCACATCCCTTGCCAGATTTAATTCTAACTGGGCCTTAGCTTTCCTGACCTAGTCCCCAGTTTCCCAGACAACGTCTCTGTATTCTTCCCAGGCCACCTCTCCTCAGTTCCACCTTTTATAAGCTGCTTTTTTCCCCTCAGTTTTCTCAGCAGCTCCTTAACCATCCATGGAGGCCTCCTGGCCTTCCTGCTGCATTTCCATCTAGTCAGGATGCAACACTATTAAGCTTGGAGCAGGTGCTCCTTGAATATCAACCAATGGCCTTTGGCCCCCCCTGCCCTCCAAAGCTTTTTATCATGGTTCCTGTTGAGGCCAAAGTCTGCTCTATTGAAGTCCAGGGCAGTGAGCTTGCTGTGTGCCTTTCTCGCTGTCCTGTGGATCTCGAACTCAACCGTCTCATGATTGCTACAGCCAAGGCTGCCCTGGAGCCTCTCATTCCCAACCAGTCCTTCACTGTTGGTGAGCACGAGGTCAAGCAAGGCACCTCTCCTTGTCAGCTCCTCAATTACTTGTAAGAAGAACATTGTCTTCCTCAGAATCGAGGAACCTCCTGGATAATTATAAATAATAAGATGGATGAGCCTTAATTTGATTTAATTTTATCTTATACTGTTTCCTAGTAGTAATTCTAAATTTTTGATCTTCATCATTTTGGACTAAATTTCATAATCTTTTACACACTAGTGAGCAATCACTTTAGCAAATAGTTTTGCTGCTAATCAATAGGATTAAACATTTTAAGGATGTGCTCAATAAAGATTTCCAAAACTGAGCCCTTCTGCTTGCAATTGTGTAACTAGGGAGCTCCCTTAACTTTCTGTTAAAGAACATTGCAAGCTTTTACAAATTTGCTGGGAAACTGCTGTTCAAAAACCTAATGCATATAGTAAATAAACAAGGAAATGTTAAAACTGAAAAATGTTTGTAGAACTGCCGAGTTATTTTAAGCTTTGTAAGTGATCTCATAATATGGAAATATAAAAAGGAATGTAAATGACTTATTCAGTAAAAGGTGAAATATGACAGAAGTTGAACTCCCCATCTTTTTGATGAATGATTCAAAGGAAATTGTTGTGCTTATAATTTAAAACAATAATCAGTGATTAATTCTTTGATTTTTGCAATTTTCTCATTCTGGTGCATCAATATGTCTGAAAATGGGCAACAAAGACAGCAATACAAGAAATAACCCATTGTATATAATTTTGTGTGTATGTTCCAGAGCACAACTCCGGTCCTGATTATCAAAGCATGAAACCATAGAGTGGTTTGGGTTGGAAAGGACCTTAAAGCTCATCTAATTCCAACCTCCTGCCATGGGCAGGGTCATCTTCCACTAGATCAGGTTGCTTCAAGCCCCTTCCAGCCTAGCCTTGAACACTGCCAGGGATGGAGCAAACACAGCTTCTCTGAAAAATCTCTTCTAGTGTTTCACCACCCTCACGGTGAAGCTTTCTTTCTAATACCTGATCTAAATCTCTCCTTTTTCAGTTTAAAGCCATTGCCCCTTGCCCTTTCACTACATGTCCTTGTAAATGTCCCTATACAGACTTCCTGTAGGCCGCCTTTAGGCACTGGAAGCTGCTCTAAGGCCAGTCTCCCTGGAGCCTTCTTTTCTCCAGGATGAACAAACCCAGCTCTCTGATCACCTTTGTGGCCTTCCTCTGGGCTTGATTTAAGAGGTCTTTGTCCTTATTATGTTGGAGTCCCAAGAGCTGGACAGAATACTCCAGGTGGGGTCTCAAAGAGCAGATTAGATGTGGAGAATCACCTCCCTTGAACTGCTGGTCACGCTTCTTTTGATGCAGTCCAACATACAGGTGGCTTTCTGGGCTGCTTTTTCTATTAAAGTATAGCAAATAAAAATTCACTTTGACTTTTGTTCAGTTAGACAAACATCTTTCTTAGAAAAAATTCACCTAAAGGACTTGACTTTTAAAAATCTGGATTTCAGTTGCTAAAAAGTCTATCTAACAAACTCTACTGCTTTTTGTCAAAAAATGGCTGAGGTCTATATGGCACGTAAGGTTCTATTTTCACACTGAATAACTTGGCGAGTTTCCGAAGTCACAAATAGCCTGTGAATGTTCAGTAGTTCTATCCACAACAAGGTTACAACAACTGGCACAGTTTTGAAACTGATGATCAGAATTATGTGTACAGTTCTTTGTAATTCTTTAACAGAAATATCCAGTGCTTATTTTGGACACCTTATGTCGTATTGAGCAATACTTACATTTAGAATCAATTCTGTTGGAATCAACATATGAATGATGGTTAATGTAAAGTCACAAACACTGGCCTTTCACTACGTCAGTTGGTAAGATCAATAAATCTGATCCAAAGTTCTTAAAGACACTTTCCTGAACATTCTGAAGCAATGTATTTTTGCACTGACATTGTATACCAAAGAAGCTATTTTTGTGTGATTCATATCCTGGTGTTTGTAAACACTGTTAATAGTTTCTGCATGAAATGGTGTTTCCATCACATGTAGAAAAAATGAACAGTAAATGGTCTTGTATATCCTCAAGTTGACAAGTTCTATCTTAAAATTCATTAATTGTTTACCATTATAAATGGCTTTAACTAAAGTCAGTCACTGTCATAAAATGCAGTTACTTTGTACCTCTCTGTGGGTTTCACAGGCTTCGGAAGGCACTGGCTACACAAATGTGCAGTCAGATTACTCAGGATGCTCTAGCTACCCTAGTGCAGAATATTGCTATTAAGATAATTTTCTATGCCCATCAGTCAGATGGTATTCTCACTTCTTTCTTTCTAACATTTCAAATGATGCTGGTTTTTGCTTTATTTAGCTAATGATGTATCTACAGGCTTTTCTCCTAAGGCAAGTTATCAACTAAATACTATTAACTTGAATTCAGTGACTAAAATAAGTTACCTTAATATCAGCTAGAATTTTCTGATTCTCTTGTTTAGGGTTTTTTGTTTGTTTGTTTGTTTCCTAGTTTGTTTTCTGTTAAAACTGTAAACTTACCAGTGTAAAGGCAGTATCTCCCTAGATTCCTACAGCATGTAGTCCTGATCTTTATGGAGTTGTGAATATTACAGCATGAAAATAAATCATGTTAATAAATACTATTCTACTCATTTAAGCACTGATTATCAATATTAAGGTGGAGTTAATAACAGTTTTGTGTGAGAGTTCTTTCTGAGTGAGAGTTCTTTCTGAGTAAAAAAAGCTTTAACATCAGCTCTTGCTGCAGCCAAATATTTGTAAAGTGAAGTTGCTGAGAGCCAAAATGGTAACAGTCATCTTGCAAACAGATGAGATAGTCCTCTGTTAGTGAACTTTTGCCCTAGGAAGCAAGAAAGTAAAGGAAAGGAAGGAGGAGAAAATAGAAGAAATGCTCAGTAATTATTGCACAGTATTACCTTGCAATTATTGTTTCATTCAGACACTTGTATAATAAATCTGTTGAAATAGTCTGAGTGATTCAGATATGGGTGGGCAGGTGTTATTTTGAAAATGCCATTGGATGTTCATATAGTCGTTGGGTTGTTTCCTCTTTCCTAGCCAAGTAAACCGTGACAGAGTGGTGTAGTAGACTATTAATGATGTAATCTATTTAATTTAATAGAACCTAATTTGGTTCTATAAACATAATTTATACCCTGTGATTCCTGCTGAACTGGAAACAGAAAATTAAAATTTGAAATCAAGTGTGCACATTTATCTTTTTAAATCTTCTAAGTCTTTGAAGTCTAAATCAATGAAATTCATAGGGTTTGTGAAGGTGGTTTAGTGTCATCTGAAGTTTAAGTGAGAAGGTAATGTGTTTAAGAATGATCACTTCACTGTGCAGTAATGTTAAGTGCTCCTCTACTTTAAAGAGTGAATTTAGTTGCAGAGTATTTTCATTTTTGATGCTTTAGAATTCCCCATACATCTTGGATGCCATTAATGTAGGTCGTTTGTATTCACTGTTAGGTTTTTTACACTGGCAATGGTACACTCTTTCATACACTGTGAAATTATTACCACTTTTGACTCTGGTTAGGTACGAAGTAGTTTCCATGGAGATTTGTACAGTATGAGTAGTTTTGTTTATTACCTTATGCTTTTTAAATATACTTTATTATTTGTAGCATCCTCACATGCTCATCATCTCTCTCTCAGACTCCACTGGCGCTGTTCCTCCAACCATTAAAAACTGTTCACAGGTTATCACCATAACAACACATCCAGTGAAAGTCAGCTGGGAACAGCTGAAATTAGTGCCAACAGTGGAGATACTTCTATACCCAATGCCTCCTGCTTCCAATGCAGAAGTTGTCAGGTTCAGAATATAGCCCATCATGAAGTTGGCAGCACAGCCTTTTGCTGGTTTAAAGTAATCATCAAAAGTAAGTGCTAAAAAAGGTAAGTTCTGGGATAACACTTAATAAATATGACCCTGTCTCTTTCACAGTTCAGTTTCCAGTACTGAACACAGTGTCTGTTTCCATGCCCAGCTTGGTATCAGGTCTACTATAAGAAATAGCAGGTTTAAATAGTTTTCTGCCTAAAACCTTTGATGCTAGTAAAATAGCTCCTTCCTTGAGTATCACTTTTTTACTTCAGGGAAACACTTGTTTACTAGGGAATAATTGTATAAAATTTGTTGGTTTACCATTTGCTTTAGTCATTATCAGTTGGGAGCTTCAGTGACCAATGATCTGTAGTTGTCTTCACTGCAGTCTGATCCCTGTGCTTGATGTTGTGGACAAGGTTCTGTAATGTTTGTATTTTTACTAATAAAGCCCTGCATTTAGATAGTGACAATTTCCAACATTTTAGAATGCAACAATGGAATATGCTGAGCAATAATACAGTGATGTACTATCTTAAACACACATTTGCTTGGAAAGCTATTGGTGTTGTTGCAGTCCCTCTGTGGAGCATTCTGCTCATGTGAATACTCACTTTAAGCACTTCATTATAAAGTCTGGTCACTTGTTCAACAAAGGTAAATTTAAAGTAGCTTAAGCTTTGTAGCCAGGCTCAGACTTCATGCCAAAGTAACTGAGGTATGCCTAGAAAGGCTATTATGCCTTTTTTTTTCAGTAGGAAAGGGCCAAGAGGATGGAGGATTTGGTAAAGAGCATTTGTAAATCTTACTACTTCTACTTGAGGGTCTGTCATCTCCAGCAACTCAGAAGTTTTTAAACTAATTTAAGAGTATTCATGTAAAGGATTGGTAACTTTTAAGCATTAGATTGATTATAAATCCTATTTGTGCAGATAAGCTCTCTGATATGCAGAAACAGAATGCTTTCTAGTCAGCAGAACTTCTGAGATTTTTGAGCTTATTGCTCAAAATTCAATGAGCTTTTGTAAAATGCAACCAAATGTTCTGAATTAAGGACATAACACTGGAAAAGTAGTTACTGTAAAAGTGAGAAAAACCCAAAGCTACTTCCTCTGGCTTGGTTTCTTACAGAAGACAAAGCATGACTACAAAGGTTCATTGACATGATGGCAGAACATGAAAGAAGTTTATTGAGGATGGGACATATTTCCAATAAAATATCAGGAATGGCTTTAATAGAACTTTTAAAAGCTTTTTGAGCTCTTTGGAGTTCGCATGTTCTCTTTCATTTGGGGTATATTAAAAAGCACTACGAACATATTCAGAACTACTTTGCCTTTTTTCTACAGATATCATCGATTAAACTGCTTTTTAAATTCTTTGAGAATAGTCTTATGCTTACTTCATTGCGAGTTTCAGATGGAAGTTGGGATTTCTTGGTGTTTCTTATATGTACATGTATTTTAAACATACTTTATCAAAATACAATTTATTACCTGCCAATCCTGAAGAGGACTTCACTTTGGGGAGGAAAATAAAAACAAAGGTTAAGGTGGGAGGTAGTGTTAATATCTTTGGCAGTGGTTTGCTGTAAATGGTATTACCTCTTTCAATGTAGAAATCAGAATGCTATGATAAATTCATAATGTTTTTAGTTGGCTTGTACATATTGTTTAGGAGTAAAGTAATAGCACAGATTGTTTTAGCCAGAATAATACTGCACCAGTTGTGACTAGCCAAGATAAGTGGGTTACTCAAGCTCTCTCATTTATTTTAAAAAATTAGTTTGGCGCTTGTCAGGAAGTGACTTCAGTAAGGAAGCACAGTAATTCAGTTATCAAACACTCCTTTTTCTAACTCTTCCAGTGAAATGTATGTGAACTCAATGTATGAAAAACATTTATTTCCAGCTTCTTTTCTTCAGTAACTCACCATGTTACATGCAGCATGATTCACCCTTACAGTTTATCCATCATGGGGGGAGGCAGGGGGAAGAAGGAAAAATTCTAAGAGCACCTTAAATATATCCTTCCTTTGTAGGCAGTGATACTATTTCCAGGCAAAGTAGCTTGGTTATCTGTTTAGAGGAAATTTCTCTAGCTTCTGGGCGGTATACCCTTTGTTCCTGATTGTCTTGAGACAAACAATCAGAAAATCTCTAGCTTGGTGACTCTACCGCCCCCAGGGCTAATATTACTTTTTTCCAAAAACTGTGTTTGGATTGCTGAAATTGCAATGTGTCTTCTGAAAATTGTCGTTAATACTTTTTGAGGAACTGAAATAATGATAAAACTTGGAGAACGTTCAGAACGATTCACAGTCGCTATTCAAAGTTCACATTCTTGCTGTCAGGGGGAAGAAAAACTGACATATAAGTGTAAATTCATAAATATACATGACAGGCAGCAGAAGTGTCTTTCTTAAGAGGAAATATAGCTTTCAAGAAAGCTTCTGATGTCTACGGGTAATTTTTATTTTTTTTTTAATAGTTTTTACCTCCTTTGCTTCATGCGCATTAATTCACAAAAAATAATACTATGGGTTGAAAAAAAAACCCAGTATCACATTTGCCTGTATTTTCATTTTGGTAGACAAGTGATCTTCATTCCACTTTCAGTATTCTGCATGGCTTCACAATAAAACTACCTAGCCTCTATGAACAGTGTGACAGAGCAGCTCATGTCATTGAAGTTGGAAAGAACTCCTATGTTTTATTAATATCAAAGCATAGGGACCATCTCGGGGGTGGGGGGAAGGTGTGACTAAGAGTATGCTTTATATGCATGGTCAGCTATGTACCAGCAAGATTTGTTAAGTAAGAGGAAGAAAGCTGTAAGCAAAGTCTAGCACTGCTGTGTCCGTATATAGTTATCATTCTGGGGAGAAATACAGAGAAACAATAATAAGCACTTTGTTGTAGGAGAAATCAGAGACCTTTCCAAGAATACTGGCACAGTCCTGCTATAAGCAAACCTGGACTTTTGCAGCTTGTGCATCACAGGGTAACAAATCTTAGTGACATTGTGATTAGATAATGAAAAATATTTGTACTCTAATTGGGTTGGGCTGGGAGGAAAAAAAAAAGTCTGGAGTCATGAAAGGGTCACATTGTTTGAAACTGTAAGGAAAAGAATTCTATTCCAAAAATTGTCCTGGAAAATTCTTCTCCTTTCCAAGAGCAGACAGAAGTGTGATTTAGATACAAAAGCATGATTTGCAAATTTAATATGAACCTGAAATAGTTTAAGGATTTGAGCACACTGGCTGAAAGGACAAAGCCCAAAGTGTCTGTTTGCTTTGAGTGATAACAGAAAACATGAAACAAACCCACAGTTGTCTTAATTTGCCCTAAGCTGTGAATACTTTATTCAAGATTTTTTGATAAAATCTCAAACTACTGCTCAAGGTGAGAAGCTCAGAAATGTTTTTAAAGATATTAAGATATTTGCTGTTATCTCTTGAAGGGTGTTACATGCATATCATTATATGTATTATATATATTAAATAATATTATAGAATTATATACTATTATATAATGTTACCTGTTACCAGATTAGGAGCACTATATAAACTGGGGACACGTTTGCTTAAAGCCATTGAGGAGATATGTATCTTCCTTAGTACCAGGCATTATATACATTTAAATGACCTGCTTAATTGCAAGTCTGCGTACTGCATAATACTAAAATACATGAGGAAATCTATGAAGCAGGCTAGTTTTCAGCTGAAATGGAACAGGATGCCCACTGGAGAGAGTTAACCAACACAGTGGATCTGCCTTTTTATAGCTGGTGTGTAAATGAAGTAGTATGGAAACGCTAATAATATGGTTTTGCCACAGAGGGGCTGGTGTTGTAGGAGGACAGTCAACTTTGTGAAGGCAGCTGGGGCTGGAGATGTGGGCAGTACCATAAGCTACTGGGACATAATTCTTTAGATTTCATTTAGTGCTGCTGTTACAGATGCATCATAAAGCTTAAGTAGTGTACTGGAAGGGAGTTAAGAAAATCAAGTCTATCCAGAACCTGTGAAAGAGGTATCTAGAACGTGAAAAAAAACAGCTGGTAGGAAAGTAGGAGCTTGCATTTACAGCAGATCTGAATGATAGAACTATGTTATTTATAAGATAGATCTACACTGCAATCAGGTATTTAAAACCAGGCATCTGCACCAGCAGTTAAGGCGCTTGTGATGAGAACAGCTTTAAGCTATGGATGTTGAAGTGATATTACACACTGACAAGAAAAAAGAGAAAAATAAACCGAAGGTATGTTGGCTATAATGACAAAAGACCAGAGAGAAGAGAATATGGAAAATTTTCACATTTCAGAATTTAGCTTTTTGTGTTTCATGTGTTTTGGTGTTACCTATTTTGATTTTGTGTTCTGTGTTTTATCATAGCCTCTTAAAAATCTTCTCTGCCAGCAAAGTATTTTTTTAGTGAATAACTTCAACTTGTTCTAAAAGTAATTCTTTACTTCACTATTTTCTTGGTATTTGGAAACTGTCATGCAGTAAATAACTAAAAAAAAATAAATTTCTTTCTTAGAGGGGAGTTTATTTACTGTATTTCTTCTGGAGAGATGGAAATGAAGTTTAGTCTGTTATATTCATTTTATTGCCATTCGCTTTACGTGATCTTTCAAGTACTACAAACCACCTCTGGTAGAGACCCCAGCAGCAGTTCTGCAACTTGTTCCAAATAAAGGCCACTGATTTCCATCAAAGCCTACAGGTCTGGCATATTTCTGTCAGACTTCTTATATGACATATTTCTCTTATTTGATGTAGCCTGGCAAACAGCATATATATATAAGAAAGTATCAGAAACTTGCACGGGTAAGACAGTCTTGAAAATTTCAATTATTTGATTGCTTCAAGCTTTTTGCCGATTTAAAGCTTGTTGATTAATGCATTGCTGTTATAGAAAATCGTGTTGAATGCGTATGACCTAAATGGAGAAAAGAGGTTTGTCTCCAAGTAGGCTGCCTCCTGATATACCGAAGTAGAGTTCAGCAGAGTTTCATGGGAACAAAGCCAAAGTTACTGGGGAATTGGATTGAGTATATAGCCTTAAGACTTTCAAATATTGGTAGCAATTTCTGTGCTTTTGTAAAATACACAAAATATACCTACACACAGATTTTTAGTGATACAGTTCTTGAAGGCTTAAATATAAGCTTCCTGCAACATTTTTTTTCATTGAGTCTTTCAGCAAAGCCAGATATCTTCTCCGGTTTAGTCTAGAAATATGACAAGCTAGTACAATACATTTTTACTGTCACAACTATTTGCTAAATGGTGGGCCAGAGTGGATATGGAGTCATATAGAAAGTCTTACAAGACAAATAGTTTTTAGCACAAAAACATTAAACAAAGAATCTTCAAGGACCTAACATAAGCGATGCTGATTTATAGATTCAAAATATGCCCTGGAGTCTTGGACAGCCTTATGTTTTGCTTCCTCATTAGCTACTGATGGGATGACTGAGCTTGGAAATTTGCCGGAGTAGATATTCCAGAAAAAATATTTATGGTTAAAATGTTTTATTCCAACATGAATAAAGCAAATTGAGAATAAAACCGCATAACCGTCTTTTATTCTAGAGGAACAGCAGTATCTATAAGAGGAGTTATGGAATAACTAGTCTGGAATAGCTATTGCAACAAACTGACAGTGCATGAAATGCTTGCAGTGGATACTGTAGTGGCTTCTAGAACAGGGCCAAGATAGACTCAAAGGAGGCAAGAAAAATAAACAAACTAAGTCTTAAACAAAAGAGGACCAGAATATGTTTGTCCTTGTTCAAATTCACATGAGAGATGGAAGTCTCAAGGAGCTCTTCTGTTGCAGATGTTCCTATATGGCTTACAGGAAAGATCAAAAGAATAATCCAGCACCAGAGAGCATCAGTTATGAAGGATACCTGAACTATTCTACTGTCAAAATGTCTGGGTGGCCACAGACATTCACTGAACTGACAGGTAAAAATAGATCTTGTTATAAGTTTATTCAGAGAGTTCAGGTCCTGCCTATGGTTTTCTGGAGTGCTGGTAGGACAGATGCACTTCTGTTGCACTCCCATTGCAGACTTCAGTAGATCCGAGGCTCACATCTTCTTGTGGTTGGAAACTGTAGAGGCAGTTAAACTAATATGCAGCTTCATTAACTTTGAATCCCAAAGCAAAACCAAATAATTTTATTGACACATAGTATAGCTATGTGATTGGGAATTACAGTATTATATCCTCTCCAACTAATTACCTACAGATGATGAAGAAAGCTTGAAATTAAAATGACAAGTTCAGAGCAAGTAGGGGGAAGAAAGATCTTTTTTTGCTGAATTGAGGTTTCTGTCATCACTGAAATGAGAACATGCTGCTCACACCATCTATTTGTTGCTGAGGGGATCTCACGTTCTCAAGTTTTAAACAGCTGTCTAAGCTGAAAGGCAGTATTACACATCAGAAAGTCTGTTTGGCCTTTCTCTGTATTAAGAAGAACATAGTGCATCATATTTCATCTAGCTTTAATATATCCCTTGAGCTGCATTGTCTGAAAAATAGAATATGAAGATGATACAGTAATATTTGCCAGGATCATTCTTTAAACTTAAACATTGCTCTTCGGCAATGAAGTGTAATCCAGAACCTGTAATTCTCAAGCAGCAGCGCATTATCTGGACTGTTCAAAGTCACACTGGGTCCAGAAAAGGAGATTCACTACAGTACCCTGAAGATGACTGCAATGAGGCAGCAGTGATAAAACACGTCTAAATTTATCAACAGTAGGACCCATTTTTACCAGGTACCCCTCCATTTTTTCAGGTTACATCTGATGTGTGTATAGTGATTAGGACACTGCATATCACTGTGGGCTTGGAAACATAATATAAAAGGGCTAGAAAAGGTAACAATTTGGCTATTAAGAGTTTTCTGACAGCCCTGTTAATTTGATCTCTCCTTGTGTATTTTAACGTACTTAAAAGGTTATTCTCTCTGTGGTAACTCACATTCTCCAGTAAATGTCAATTATTTGTGACTTGAAGACAACAGATTCTTTTAAGTGTATCTATCTCGCTAGACACACAGCCTGTCCATCAGTATGCACAAACAACTATTATGCCCTCTATTAGAGGGCATATTGCCAGTTTCATTTATCTCATGCTAAATGTTCAGAGGCTACTTCAAATAAATACTTTGAAAGAAAGAAATGTATAGAACTTCAAACAAAGATAGGAAAGTTATGATGAACGCCAAGGCTTGGAGGGTCAGCTGGTCAAATGCAGTTGAATGCATTAGTTGATACGGTCTCATAATGGTTGTTAAGAAGGTGAATGGAACATACCAAAAATGTGATACATAGGTAGACTCTATGGATGCTGCTTACCTGTGAATGTGAGGGCAATACAACTTCAAGGGTTAGGTGGCAGGAAGCAGGGTGTCGTGGTTTAAACCCAGTCAGGTAACTTGTTCACTCACTCCCAGTGAGTGGTGCCGAGCTGACAACAATCAAGATCCGTGTCCGTCTCCCCCCCCCCCCCCTGCACCGGGGCTCTCTCCCCTTCCCCGCTCCCGGAGGAACGGGGAGGAGGATCGAGAGAGTGCAACTCCTACGGGTTGAGACAAGAACAGTCCAGCAACAAATCACCACCGCTACTATCAGCTACAACAATGATAAGGGAAAATAACAAGGGAAGAGAATACGATACCACCGGCCAAGAAAACGAGTTCCACCCGGAAGCCCTGTCCTTCCGGGTAACTCCCAGTTACCCCCCACCCCGGGCATGACGTGCTGTGGTATGGAATACCTCCCCGGCTAGCCCGGGTCAGGCGCCCCGTCTCTGCCTCCTCACAGCTTCCCCTCCTCCCTGGCAGAGCATGAGCCTCACAGAGTCCTTGGTCAGGGTAAACATCACTTAGCAACAACCGAAAACATCGGCTTCACCAACGCTGCTCTCAAACTAGAAGTCAAAACACAGCACTGCACCAGTTAACACAAAGGAAAAAACATGACTGCTACTGCTGAACCCAGGACACAGGGCAAACTTGATTATTTATTTTTTTTAAATTTTACTTAATGATGCACATCCACATGTATTTAATACAAACCCCTGTTCATTCTGAACTAAGTTACAGTTCAGAGTGAGCCATTGCTAGACTAGTCATTTTCATTATGGTAATATATTGTTTTCAGCTGCAACCAGAGGAGACATTCTTAAAAAAAGCAGGTAATTTCAACCTTTAAAACGATTGTACTCAGTTCCAGACAGTTAGGTTGGTCTAGACATCTTATTTAAACTGCTTTACTGAAGTCTGTGGGACCTTTCTTATCTAGTCGAGAAATAGGAGATAGTATTTGAATGCTACACTAAATACCTTCAACAATAAATACTGCTTTAACAGAAATAGGAATGATTTCTTTATCTTGGCACTGTTGGGAACCAGGCTGGACAGCAAAGGAGTTCAACATGTTGAATCACTGAAGTAAAAGCCAGATAATATTATGTTGTGAGTAAAAGAAGGGGCTAAAGGCGTTAAGGAAGGAAATGGGGATAAAGAAGAACATGTAAAGTTGCTACACTATTGTTTCTCTTAAGCATATGGGTCATGCCCACTGATGGTAAAACTCTCAGGCTCCTTTTTAATTTTTCCTCTCACCAGCATGCATGTGCCTGGAAAGTCAGCAGAGACTGTAAAGAATATGTAATTTTTCTTTATTTTAAAGTACAATTATTTTTCAGGGATAGAACAGAGACTTTTTTGAGTTATTAAATCATTAACAGTTCATATTTGTGTAAATATCTTTTTTGGTTTTAATTTTTAACACCATCACTCTATAGGCTTTCCATGTTAGTATTGTCTTTGTGCATTTGTAGTCTTGCCACTAGCTTGCAGAGTGTTCGTACCATCCATGCTTTGCTTATTGTATGCTTCTGCAGGATTAGAAATATGATCAGTTCTTAGATTTGTCTGGCTTTCAACTTGCAGCTCCTACTGCATGTAGAAACTGATGGGGATTCCTTCTCCCTTCAGTTGTTTCAGCAGTATTGAAAAGACATAAAGAAGGAGTGATTGAGGAGAAGGCCAGAGATTCCATGGCACAGCAAGGACAGTACAGCCAGAAAACCAGCTTAGTGCATTCTTCCTTGCAGGAAGGCGCAGTGCCATTTATTCTCCAGTGCCAGAAGAACTTTACTGAGGAAATGGGTGTGAGTTAAAGACTGAGGCTTCTCTTCCTTCATTCCTGTGCCAAGCGTACATCAGCTGAATCAGAAGGTCATTGAATACTAGTGACCGGCCTACTGCAGACTCTTGGGGTCCTGGTGCAGCTGGCAGGGTTGGGAAAAAAATGCCAGGCTGGAGCAGTATTGCCTCCAGTTCCTGAGACCCTTGGAGATAGCTGGTGCAACTATCTTGCAGAGATGTGGATGTCCACTGGGTGCTAGTCTTTGGTGAATACTAAGAAATGAGGGGATAATTTTATTTGGAAGAATAGAAGCAATCATGTCAATGCTAGGGAAATACTGAGGTCTGAGGTGGTGGGGAAGAGAGTAAGGTATAAAACTTAAAATATTTTTGCTAGAACTCACATAAGAAGGGATTTCTAGCACCTCAAGTGCTCTTATTTATAAAAAACCCAGCACGTTGCATGACTCTAAAAACACTTTCTGTTATATAAGGAAATATCATAACTGTATGTACTGCTTCTATTGCCTGCAAAAAAAACCCCATTTACAGATTTCTGGTGCTAACGTATTTTCATTTTTGTTATTGATATGTTTCTTATCTCCCCGAAAGCTTCCTTATTCAACTTTCTTCGTTAAGAATTTTTTAGATATCAATTACAGATCATTCTGATTAGCTTTTTAATTATGGATAGAGAAGACTATTTACAGCACTCCTGACTGGTATAAATCAGTCCCTGTGGGGAAACATAAGTAAAAAAGAGGTGAGCAGCTTTAAATAAAGAAATAACTACTATAATTTTCCATTGTCAAAAAGAAAGGGAAGCGTTTTCTATACCTTGTAGTAAATACAGACCTGAACTGGAAAGCACAGTGTGGGTTAGACTCCAAAACTTGAAATTATCTGAAATTGAGTTAACTTTACCACAGGTATTTGCTATGACGATTTTGAAGGAATTGATAATTTAACTTTGTAAATTCTTGTCGGTAGTCCATTGCATCACTTGGTTAAAGTGTATTACAGTTATGTTCACCTGAGATACTTTTTATATGAGAGCACTGTACTGTATTACAGTACACAGAATAGTAATACAGCTTCAGTATGATTTGTCAAGTAATCTTGAATTTTCCTCTTTTTGCAGATTCTCAAGCATCCACGGTGACTATCTGCCTGCAGAATATTGGAAGTGACCCTTGAAGAAGGAAACTCCTACTGTCATCGTCAACCTGAAATGAGATGGAAGTGGGCAGTGCTTGAAGACAGTTTGTGGAATCCATTAGGAAGCACAAGATGGGAGTCCCTTGTGCGTAACAGAAACAAACTGGGCTATGGGCACTGTTCTGTGGAATATATGGCCACAGATCTGTCTGGGAAACTTAGTCAAATCTGCTTTTGAGCCCTCTGTAAATGCAGAAATTTGGATCATATTCAAGGTTAACTAAGTAAAATGTGATTATTTGTGTTCCTGTCTCTTCACTGATGAGCTCTTACGTCCAGTGGAACCTAAGGGACAAAGTCATTATCAAATGTCTAAGTAAGTCTACAGGTATGTGGTATGAACAGTAAAAATACTCCGATTGTAAACCTTTCTGTAACACATTTAGAAGAATAGGCACAAAATAGTTCATCTTCTTTCCTTTACTTCAAATTCAATATACCTAGAAATGTTTTTACCATCATGTTTATAATTGTGTTTAGAATAAGAAAACTGATAGGTATTTCTGTTCAGTGCAATATACTTCTTGCAACATACTCTTGTAACAAGAGTGTTGTTCCCTACTAATTCAATATTTTGCTTTCATATATATTTATATGAAATCCTAGTGTATGTACAGTCAACTGTCACAACATGGAGCAAGACTGAGACTACCGTTCTTCAGAAGAAATCGACCTGATTGACATTCATTACACCACCATAACAGCAGTACCTCTCCAAGACACAGGGGACCTTCAGAAGCACTTTCACTGTTACAGGCACACATTTGTCAGATTTCATTTCCAAATCTCAAGATAAGGAACTAGGCAAATACATTCTTGTGTTAAGCTTATTTTCTACTTTCATAATTTGTGCAGTTCTCATGTAAATGTTTGCTGTCTACAGCAAATATTGAGGATTCATTACTAATCTCTGCCCCAGACTTTGGCCATAGGAGCACTGGTGACTCCAAACCATTTCTCTGCGTAAAAGAATATGCTCTTCTGGGTTAGTAAGGAGGGAGTATCAATATCTGACACTTACAAGTGGGAGGTTTGAATTCTTGGTCCATTTGAGCTCCTGCAGAATCAAAAACTCAGTTTAGGTTGCCTGCATCCCAGGTGACTGCAGTTAACGTTAAAATTTGCTTTAGCCAGATAGCACCAGGGATGCCAGCACCAGTGTTCACCACTTCTTCCTTTGTGGCCTCTTTTTGGATTGCCACTGATTATGCAGCCTGAATTTCCAGAAAAGCTTGATTGTCTTAGATCAGGAATTAACAATAATGTGTGAGTACTTTTTCAGACAGCATGCATTAGAGGATTTGATTTTTCTGTATTTATATTCTGTTAAATTCACCTAAACCAACGTATTAAGCTTTATGTGAGTTAGCACTTGTCAGAAGATACTTTCCCATTGTTAACAGCTTTCATTTAGAAAGTGGTAAAGTTTGTTGAGGGGAAGAAAACTTTTAAATAGTCATTAGGAGTTGTAGTTGTAAATAGCTTTACAGTTTAGTGTGTGCATTTATTTTAAACTCATAAATCTGAGTTTAATTTAAAAAGCAGTCCTATATGTCATTTGTCTCAAATGAAGCATGAACTCCATATGGATGAATCTACGTTCTTCATTTAGGCAGTTACTAAAAATATACAGCTGTGGCGTGATAGACAATAACCACAGTTATAAACAGAGGGTTGTCAGCTCTGGGTACAGTTTAAAGACAGACTCTGAAAAGACAATGTTCACAGTGTATGAAAATGAAGTGACAAGGAAAAACTTTTGCTTTGTTCATTGATGATTATTTGTAAGAGCAGCATATGTAAACCGAGACCTCGCTCAGGTTTCTTTGTGAGAGGTTATTTTGTGTCCAGCTCTATGTTTGCTTGTGCATTAAATGCATTGTGTTTTATTTCAATATAAATAAGAATTATCACACTGTTCCTAAAGTGTTCCTAAACTTCATACTCAGTGTTTCTGGCAAGTATAGTAGGTAGCCCTTTAGCTCTACATAATCTTCAGAGCAGGCTGCAGCAGCCACATACCTGTAGACCATTTAACGTGTGTGTCAGCACATCCACCTGCTTTCCGCCATCCTCCACTTGCCTATTCTGTTTTCAAATATGGGTTTGACCACAAATTGTTGTGCCAAAAAATATGATATGATGAAGAGTTTGGCATTTAGGTTCAGCTTGTCCTTTCTCAAAAGCAATGAAGACTCAATGCATACAGCCCACGCTGAACCCCAACACTACTATGAAGACAAATTAAATTTTAATTCTGTAACTTTGTTTTTTCTTCAATGTGCAGTAGATCAGTTTGCAGGCTTAGTGTTAACAACAGGAATGACTCACTCGAGCATGTAATTGGTCCACTAGTTCAAAGTGAATTTTGTACTTTGTTTGCTGGTGGTTTTTTTTTTTTTTTTGAGAATCAGATTCAGGTAACTGTAAAAAGTTAAACCTTTGGATTAAAACTTTTACTTCTGTGGTGACTGCCATGATGAGACCATGCATGATATATAAGTAGAGCACTTGAAATATTTTCAAAAGACGTAATCTTTGTACCTTGCAGAGCAGAATGGTATTTGTGGCAGTAGGTGATGTGAAATGGGTTGGGTTTTTTTCTTTGTTTGAACTTTGCTTCATTTTCAAGCATATTTTTTGTCATGTCTAAATATTACAAGGCTACTTGTGCTGTAAAAGCACTTCCTTTATTAAAATTATATATAAAATCTAAGAGTCACTGTTTACTCTTACCTATGGAGGTTAGGATGCTGTGGTTTATTTTTCTGTCAGGGTCAAAATACTGTGTACACATGCTTTTAGATGCATATACTTGAATAGCAAATGCTACTTTGGATATAATTTATGTTAATTTTTCTCCTGCTGGGCATAAGGGCAAAAATGTTGGAGGCACTAACATCTGGATTTGGGGAATTGGCTTTACTTTTTCTCTGTATCATTTAACAATTATTTTATACTTTTATGTAAGTAACAATTTGAACTCTGCATATGCAGCTACACAGAATCTGTATCACCAAGAAGCAGTGATTGGTATTAGTATGTACTGGTAGAAAACAGTAAGCCATATTTTTAGCTGAAGTAATAGATATAAATTACTACTAGTAGAATCTGTAACCATTTACACTGACTTTCAGTTCTAGATAGGCACAATAACCTGAAGTTACAGTCTCCTGCTTGAAAGTCAGGAATGGGAGTTGGGAGATTGTGCATTTGTTGACTGGACATTAGCACACTTTTAAATATGGGTATTATATATACAGTAGTTATTAAGACCCAGTATTAGATCCCTGTGTCTTCTAATATTGCTTGGCTTATTTAGGCACTTATTTTCTGCTTTTCTTGAGTGCATTTCTTTAGCTCAGAATTGCTTATATACCTTGGCTGAACTGAGATTTCAGAGTGTAAAGCTCCAAGACAATGTTTTCTTCCTTCTCCACCCTCAACCACTACCACACATCCTTTCCTGACATCCCCAACCTCAAAAAGATTTTGTCTCACTTAAAGCAAACAGAAGTAACTTTTTTAAGAAAAAAACTATAAAAAATTACTGTTCTTGCCAAGAAATTAAAACAGAGCTAGGCTAAACAACTAAGGGAAGCTGCAGATCCAATGTTGCATGTGGGCAGACCAGCGCATGGGTAGCTCAAGTTAGCTCAGGAGTTGACAGTCATGGTCGAACACTTCCTGATTGCCTAAGCAGCCTTTTTCTCCAACCAGATTTGGATATCCCACATGCCCTTGGTCATCGTGCTTGTAGTAAGCATGGTTAAAGCCCTTCCCAAATCTTCACTCGTGAAAGCCAATCCATCAAGTATGACACAATCTTCTCTAATTCAGTTTCCACATTGAGCTTTTTTTTTTTAAACATGTTTGTTGCCATTATCTGGTTTGTACATACCCTCCCTTCTAAACTGTGAAGTAACTCTTGCTGTGCTGTCTTCTGTTGTGGTTACAGCTCTGAGTGCAAACATAAAAAAAAAAAAGGCCCCCAAAAAACTCACTTATTGAATCCTTGGTGTGAGTACTTGGCTTCTTTCATTTCTGTGCCCTCCTAAGCACAGCTTTACTCCATCAATTGGATACCGACTACGTCCCAATTTTATCACTGGTTAAACCATTTAATCCAGCTTTCTAACTTTTTCACGTGGACAATGAGGTATATAGATTCCTGCTACTACATATAAAGAATTGAAAAGCTTTACACTGCAATATTTATTTTTAAATCTACTTACTAGCACTTATTTGCTGTTTTGGTATGTAATACATACTAAAGTGATTTATGCAATTACATGCTGGTAGACATCTAAGATCAGATACTCTTCAGCATTCAAAGAGCAGGCCCAGCTCTACAGATCCAAACCATACCTGTCATTCACAGTTTTTGTGCAGACACCATCACTTCAGGGTGGAGAGGGAGGGGCAAACAGGGACACCTCACTCATTTTTCTATTGCCTTTGCTCTTGTAGGTCTTACAGAACAAACCAGCTTTTGCACAAGCAAGTCTGTTTGGTTGAGACCTGGTTGAATGCCATGTTGAAAGGACCTCCACCTAGACTGATGGAACAAAGAAGAGAGATATGTTTACTTTAGGCTCTACTCTGCTGCCAGCTCATGATGGCACAGAAAATTTCTTAATAATAAATTTTTATTAAAAGGCAGATTCAGGTGACGAGAACTAGAAATATGAAGACTTTGAGTATATCTATGCAAGCATCCTCCAGAAATGCAACATTCTACTATGCATTTAAAATGTAACTATTAAATAAACAAACACTTAAAAATGGAATAATTGTTAATAACTCCATGTAATGACTTTCTGCCTGGGTTAATATTTCATTAATACACAGCTAAGACATCTGTGAAAACCTAATTTAGATCAGCTTTGTTATTTCCATATTAGAACACAAGAGATCTGAGTAACTGTAGTAATATTTTATTGATCACAAACATAATAATACTTCGTTCAGCAATTAAAATGCATGATGATTCATATGAACAAAATGAAAACGAAGCACAACCAAAAAAGAACTTCACATTTTTTCAATGTCATTTTTAGTGTAAGCAATAAATACAATGCTGTAGCTTCTATTAATCTTATTTACATAGCACGATACTTGAATGTTGGTTGGTTTCCAGCCCAAATGTTTTAGGACATGAAAAGGAGTACATGTTGCAGCATTTCAACAGCCAAATACTCTAGTAGATCATCACATAGCATAAATGCTAACATTAAAAATCAAACAGCAGATCCTCAGTGGAGCATTTTATTAATTGAAGACAGTAGCATTAAAAATAGACATTCCCTCTCATAGAAAGCTTACATGTTGGTATTAGAGATAAGAGACCAAAGACAAGTATTTCTGTAGCCCCTGTAGACTGATGCAATAAATCCTCACTAAGCAATAACAAAAGAAAACCCAAACCAAAACAAAACAAAGCAAAACAAAACCCCCAAAAGCAAATAATACATGTTCAAAGAAATCTCACAGGCCCAACAAAAAAGTCTATATCCATCCCAGAGCACACAGATAAGGACTACAACATTTTTTAAAGTAGAAAATAAGGAAAGTGAAATCAGCATAAGGATTTGATTTTAATTTATGATGACAGAGAAATATTTTAAGCAGACCCTTCTCTTGATTGTGTAGGAACTGGAAAAGGTGAGGTAGGAAGGCAAAATAGGGAATTTATGTTTTCCAATGCAAAACAGGAAATAGATTAGCTAACCTCCTGAGAAGGGGGAAAATATAGCTCTTCTATGTCATGTAACCCTCCACAGCTACATTTTCTCGCACATCCAGCTGTATGTGTCCTTAATTTCCAAAGTGCAGGCATGTACAGAAGCATGCTGCAACTGTCCAGCTAGAAGTAGGACGATTTCTGTAGGAGAACAATTTTCCCTCCTAAATTACCATTACAAGTTTCTCTAACAGAGGACAGGGAGCAATTACCAACTAGTACGTTGCATCATATGAAAAAAAATTATAGGCTATTAAATTTGGACTAGCTGAGAAGGAAGCTTAATTCAAAAACTAATATTGTATCACGCTCTATAAAGTGTTGCATACATTATACCAACCCACGAGGTACCATGAAATAATTTCCTGATAAGATGACATAAAATACTTCAAAGCACTTTTAAACGGACAGATGTCTGCCTGGGCTTTGATCCTCAGCTGGTACCCACTGATTTTGAAAATGGAACTCAAGACAGGTCTATACCAGTTGATGATCTAGTCCCCCAGTATAGAGCTGCTCTACCAGAGCAGGGATTTGCAACACCACTAATATTTCCAGAACACTGCACAGATCTTAAGTAACACTACATAGATCAGCAAGCACAGTTGTAAGTAACTTCTTATCACATTGTAGCAGATCCTGTTACTGTATTCTTACAATTTAAGAGATTGTGACATCTGACTGCCATATTTCACACTATTCTTAAGTACAGAATCCTACCGATTTTCAAATGATTCTCATCAATCAACAGCTCTGCAGAAGAACAGAAATCTTGATCCATGCATCCTAGCTGAGATTCTGTATTATGAAACTAAATCATTAATAAAATTTTAGATTCAAGCTCCAGACATAAGAACCACAAAAAA